TTTTTGTGTAATTTCAATATTATTCAAAGTGCTATGAATGAGCATTATTCACTTTCGTTAATATAAAAATAAAAATAGTAACTATTTACCATCTTTAAATATGTTTTTCTTAATATAACTGCAAAAGTATTCACAACACTTTTCGATAAACCACAATACAAAAAGTCTATTTTAATTTTGGTATGTATAGTTCACGTACGTCGGATCACAAGTTTTCGATAGATGGCGCTTATGTTAACAAAGGAAATATGTCATATGTAATTTGAATTTATTAAGAAAAAAACACATTACAAAATTATGCAAAATTTTTATCTAGCAATTGATGTATAAGTTAAAATTATATCATATAAATAAAGCAAAAAGTAATATGTATATGTATTATTAATGAAATAATTAGAATAATTTAAATGTAACAGAGAGAATATGAGTTATTAGTATATTTTATTTACACAAAACTTACAATACATTGATTAAATAAATATCTAATGTATATAAAAAATTATATATATATAATTTATTATTATATTAAATCTAATATATACTTTATAAAATACATATTAAAATGCATTATATTTACATTTAAATAATAATTTCTTACATTTTTATAATAATTTCTATATTGAATTTGAAATTAAGGAGACAAATAAATAATTGCAAAATTAATAAATAAAAGTAATGTAAATTATAAACATAATTACATCGTATAATTTTTTTATTTACCAAATATTACATTATATGAAATCGTTATTTATTTTTGTTTCACTAAATTCAATAAACGACCTCTTAAATAGTTTATACGTCTCTCAATTTTATCTTCTAAGCCAAAATGTTGGTAAGGTATAATCAATACCTTATAATTTTTACATTCTAATAAATGACTATACAATTTAATTATTCCTTGATAGTCTAAATTTCCTAGGCACATGTCATAATAATCAACTACTATTATACCTATCCTGAAAATTAATTATATATATCATACAATTATATATATAATTCTTATGTCTATTATTACATTGTAAATTCAATTTTTTCAGACTTACTTAATAAAATCTTCATTTTCATTATCACTGTTTTTAATATTCACATTAAGAAAATTAAACTTGTTATCCATATGTATTTCAGCATCTATAATGTTATTTAGGTATAATATATTACTTTTGAACGAAAATACATTATGAACAATGTTTTTAGATACCTAAAAGAAATCCCATGTTTGTATTTATATTCATGTTGAAATAAGATGTAGCTGGCAACATATTTTTTAGTGTAACTTCAAGTGCATTAATGTATGCCATCTTTTGTTTGGAACGTTTGGATACATCATTGGATATTATTTCATTATTAAGAATAGGTCCTAAATATGTTTAAATATATATATAAATATATATAAATTAATATTTAAAATAATTATAATATTTAATATAAATATTTAAAATAATTTATATAAAATATAAATAAATTATTTTAAATCTTCCCAAATGCTAAATATACCTTATACCTTACCAGAATAATCTGTGAGTGTACATTGTGCATATCCATTGATATTCAATAACTTTAACTTATAGGATAATTTGTTTTTTTTATCTACAATAAATATTAAATATCAATTTATCATCAATATAAAATAAAGGGTTCATTTTAGTCGTGAATACTAACCCAAAAATTTTAGTTTTGACACAAACGTTTCATTTAATACACATTCAGCATGTATGTTTTCCATTATTCTGAATATCGCAAAGGACCATACAAGATTTAATTTGGTCTGCGAGTTAAACTTATTCAATGTACAATGTGGAACATATTTCTAAGTAAAAGATTATAATTAAGAATATAAATCTCTTTTGATTAAATTAATTTAATGAATATATTATTAATTTAAATAAACTTAAGTTTTCTTGTGTAACATACCTGTATAATTTTATTTACAGATTCAGAATTATAACCTAATGATGCAAATGACTGTAAAATACTTGCAATTTGTTCAATATTATATTTATTTCCGAAATTAATAATTTCATCACATATTTGGTTTAAAAATATATCGTTTTTATATCTGACAAATGCCAAAGATTTTACTATAGACACTATTGTTGATGCTTTTACAGCATTTTGATTCTTAAAAAAATCTGCACAAATTTTTTTAAGTAATCTCTAAAACAAAGGATAATATATTTACATCTTTCTTAATTACTAATTTTCATTCCAAAGTAAATGTTATTCGCTAATCTTACCTCATCAGAGTAACATAAAGTGCTCATACTGTATAACAAATTTGAACTTGCTCCTACAGTTAATCTCTCATGATAGTCAATAATATTTTGAAAGAAATAATTTAAAAGTTTTACATTTCTCTTGCCCTTTTGTGCTAATTTATGTACTTCCTATGACAATACAAATATAGATATACGTATATATTTAAAATAAAATTTGAAGAAATTATTTTGTTTCTTTACCATAATCATTGCAGATGTTGAAAGATTATTGTATTTATCACTATCATCATCTTCAAGTTCTTCAGATTTTGTTTTGTCAACTTCTGTTAACATTATTTGACTTTGTGAAATTTCATTGCTTTTGATACTTAGATTATTTTTATTATTATTTGCATTTACCCAAGTTGTAATGGTTTTAAGGACTTTTACAATATCACTTTCAGAGATGTAAGATGTTTTCATAATTTCTAATATTTCATGTAAATTTTGTGTTCTTTTAATTTTGGTATTAACCAATGGTTGTAATTTCAAATTACACAACTTTGTTTTTAATTCATTAAATACCTTATGCTGTTCATCATTTATCATAGCATTTGCTGTTATGTTTTTTATCTGATCTTCAAGCTTAACAAATTAATTTTTACTTATTAATAAAATATAACATTATTCCTTCGATTGAAAAATATCAAATAAATGTGTAATTACAAAATTTTATTCAAAGACATAAAATTTTACCTTTACAGCAATTTTAGGTTCAGTAGCTACTGCAGTTGCATTTGTAGTTAATGATGCATTTAATCGCCATAAAAATCGAGGAGTAAATCTGGTTACTATTGTATACACTGTTGTATTAAATTGCATTTTGTGATTCTGTAATATTAATTTATATAATTGTGAAAAATATAAACACTAACATAGATTACACATACCATCACATTACCTATTAATTTTATTAGAAGTTTTTATTAGCAAAATGTAAATATAATACTTATTTTATTTACAACAAAATAACTTGAGAGGATATTAAAAGAGGATATTAAAATTAGTTTACTATATTTTTTAAATTGTACAAGTTCCCAAATTTCCCGTTATAAGGTTAAGTTCTAGTCCATCACAGTTACAACCATTGATAAAAAAATTTCACTATAGTGCCAAATCTCGTTTGTATGTTCAAGGACGACAAAAATACAATAAGATAATATATTACATAACTTAATATTATTGGTTCATTAAAATTTTCCTACCTCAATATGACTAAAAAGAATTTGTTTACAAATTCACAGATCTGTTACTTTTAAATAACACAACAGAGAAGAGTCATATATCTATTTATAAGTGAATATCAAATAAATTAATTCTGTACATATTATTTGAGAAAGTTGTTATAATTCACTAAAAATCATTATATTTCTCCTTAATATTATTTAGCAATTAATTTCTTAATATTATTTGATAATTACTTATAAGGAGCACGAATTTAATAATTATTTGTAAGTTATTATTAAATAATAATTATTTTTATTAAGAAATTTTTATGTAACACTTTTATAAGACATATATTGAGATAATGTAATACGTATTTCATCTATAATAAAATGTACTGTTTTATCATTGAATTGTATGAAATTCTAACCTATTTCATCTATATAATTTTGTTATGTGAAGTCTATAATTTCATTATATAAATTTTGTATATTGTGAATTCAATCTTCTATAGTTCTTTTTCTTTGAATTAAATAATCTCCTGTCTTTTTTCATTTTAAATTGCAGTGCTTGCAAATTTATTAGGATAAGTTGCAATTAGATATTTAGATTTACATTATCAAAATGTCTTTTTAGTTTACTTTAACATAGTTACATCGTCAATGTGAGAATGCATAGCTTTTTCCTTCTTTGGTACTATAATGTATCGTTTAGTTACTTGCATAATACGTATTAGAATAGGTTAGAAAGCATTTAATATATTTGAATTTTTTACTAGCCCATTCGCGCCAATTTAGAACATTACTAATAGTATATACATAATTACGAACACAATATTATATTTTGTATAATATCAATTAAAATTTTATTAAAATTAAAACATAAGGTAATTTAGCGAGACATAATATCAAATTCTATTTTCAACATTTTAATTTATTTTTTCGTACATAATTTAAATATAATGAAGTATGTAATATGAAAATAAAGAAAGAAGTATATATATGTGTATTATTATTCCTAAATTGTGACAAATTATAAAAATAATGTAAAATATAATACGGAGAAACGAACGATTGTACTTAAACACAATAAAATTTTATTTTTTCAAATTTTTTGAATTTTAAAGACATTTAATTTACTAAACTTACTAAAATAAAATCATTAATCATGTAATTAGAATAATTTTAGAGTAACTATGGCACTTATAGCCAAATATATCAAATATTTTTTATTCACAAGACAGATTGTAAGAGACGTTTATTTATGATTAAATTATAAAAGATTCTTTATTTAATTTAATTTCGACAAAAAAAAGTCCTCCGTATTGATATTAAGTTATCGTCACTTGTGTATTTTTGCAGAAACTAAAAGCACTTGGAAGAAGTTGTAACAAAAGTAATACATAGAAAATATTTTACTCGCGCTTTTACTAACATATTATACAGGTGAAGGTGCGACAGTTAAATAGTACCTATATTGATTCATTCCTAATCGCAAAGGGCCGCACCCAACACAAACATTATTATCAATCTTCACATTTGTATTAAAGGACGTAATTGTACTATAGTATTATCGAATAATAAATTAGCGAAATAATTTAAAAATTAATTCAGACAGTATTCTATTCTATTAATTGACCATTGACTACTTCCATCGCTCCTTGCAATTTCTTGTTTCTCTGAGGACGAGGTTGATGGTTGATGATGGTATATGTATTTAATGTCCGATGACGTTAAACGTGCATTGTACAAATTAATATTAGATAATTTAAGGATTCTTGAGAAATGCTCACAGCTCTG